TCGTCATCATCACCACCACCATCATCGTCGTCTTAGCACAATCGTCATCAGCACGATCAGCATCATCATGCAGCATCATCGTCAGCATCAGCATCGGCATCATCATCATCATCATCAGCAACAGCAGCATCATCAGCATGATCATCATCATCAGCAGCAGCAGCATCGGCATCAGCATCAGCAGCATCAGCATTATCATCACCAGCATCATCATCGCATTCATCATCAGCAGCAGCAGCATCATCGCCATCGTCCTCATCGCCCTCGTCATGATCAACAACATCATCGTCATCATCATCATCATAATCATCATCATCATCATCATCATCATAATCACCATCATCATCCTCTACCTCATCCTCATCCTCATCCTCAGCTACGTCTTCATCATCATCATCCTCCTAATCATCATCCTCGTCCTCATCCTCCCACTCATCCTCATCCTTTCCCTCCTCATCCACACATGGTTTCTCCTCCTCCTCCTCCTCCTCCTTCCCCTCCTCTCCCCACCCTCCCCCTTCTGCTCCTCGCCCTCCCCCGTGAGCTCCGTCAAGGAGTCCTCACGTGACCCAACGGCACCCCAAAACGCGCTCTGGCACCACGGAAGCAAGGGACTGGAGCGCGGCGACTCGCAGGTTGCCGCGCGCGTCCTCCGAGCACCTCGCGTGGCGATCTCGCTCGGCTGCGGGAGGGGGGCACTGCGAGCGCGACCGCTCGAAAACCAAACCCTGGCAATGCGAGGAGGAGACGACACGGGGCCAAGGGGCACGGACCGGGTCCAGGACGGAGACAGGAACAGGATGGGATGGGATGGAACAGGGCGGGGGGGACAGGGACGAGATGAGATGGCACGGGGCTGGAGAAGGGAGGGGAGCCGAGTGGAGTCTAGGGGAGGACGAGGGGCAGAAGCGATAAGGAGCAGGAGGTGCCTTTCGGGCCTCGCGAGGGGTGCTCTGGAGGCCGGGCGCCCCCCCGGAACAGCTCGGGCCGCCTGGGGCCGGGGCCACCCCTGGCAACACTCGAGGGATGGAGGAGGAAGGGGAGGCTGGGGGGGAGAGTGCGCTTTCTCGCTGAGGGCCCCCCAGACATGCGATGCTCTGATCTGTGCAGCACGTCTCCTCGGAAGCCCTGGCCCTGTCCAGAGGGCATCGCATCGCATCGCAAGTCATGCGCCCAAACGCGCGTGGACTGATCCACCATGCGCGATACTGGGCAACGCCTCTCTGTCTGTCTGTCTATGCAGTGCGTGGACAGATCTAGCATGCACCCTGTCCACATGGCCTGTTCTTCATCCCGAGTCATTCAATTGACGGTCCTCGAGCTCGTCGCAGCGCGCACCTAGGCGGTTGGCGCTCAGACCTCGCCGCCGCCAGCGCCGTCTTGAGGCCCTCTTGGGGCCGTCTTGGGGGCTTCTCGGGCACTCTAGGGGCGATCTTGGAGGCCTCTTGGGCCTTGTTGGGCCGTCGGGAGGCCGAAGATAAGCAAATGCAATAATCATTCAGAAACCAGAAACTAACGGGAGATCAATGATTTTGGCCTCTTCGTGCCTTCCTGGAGGCCCTCTTGGAGGCCTCGCGGGCCGTCTCGGAGGCCTCTTGGGGGCCTCTTGGGCCGCCTTATGTCATCTTGAAGCCAACCCGGACCGTCTTTGGTACATCTTGGCCCGTGTGGGGTGAATTTTGGAACCACCTTGGGCTGTCTTGGGGGTCATCCTGACCGTCCCCATGCAGGCCCTGGCCCGGCCGCCGAGGCCGCGGCTGGCTGGGGGAGGACGTCGACGACCGCGGCCTAACCGACCCCTTCCGTGACGAACCCCTCCTTGGACGAGCCCCCTCGGTGCTCCCCGCCTTGAGGGCCAAAACCCTGCATGAGCTTAAGGAGGTCCACGCGGACTTCTTGGATCGGCGCTGGCACCCCGTCGCCGATCCAAGAAATCAGTGCGGACCTCGGAGAATGCATGTTTATGCAGTTTTTTGCGCTGCCCATCCTGCAGCGAGGCGAGGAGGTCGTCACGGAAGGGGGCGGTCTGCTACGAGTCGGCCGCCACTGAAGGCAGGCGGGGGGCCTGCTCCAAAGCCTAATGAACACTGCTGCCCCTCCCAAACGTCACTTCCGACGTGCAGGCACGCTGGGTCGTTACCCGGCGCCTGTCATGGTCCATAAGGTAATTCACTCCCCAATTGCAAAGGTTGCACTCGCCGTCGAAGAGAACAACTGGGCGCGAATCCTCTGGCGTAAACAGGGCGGGCAGCACGAACATCCCATGTCCACCTTCAAGCCGGCTGCTGCCTCGAGAGAAGCGGCGGTGCTAGCGCAACGAATGACATGGGGGCGTTGACACTAAGCCACGCCCACGTCTCGATGCTTGTGTACTGAAGAGGAAAAGCGTCCGCGCTGTGATTATCCACCACCGTGCCCCGAGGAACGAAGTCGAGTGTGTTGAAGCCCTTTCGAGTTTTTCTTCTGAGCACTGTGACTCTTGTCCAAGGGGCCCTGCAAGGCCCAGAATCAGTGGCACTCCCAGGCGTTCCTGAATCGCATGGTTTTTTCACAGCCATCGGAAGCTTCCAACATGGCCTAAGATGGTATCCGGGCCCGTCCTGGAGTCCTATTGGGCGCATACTGGGCCGCCTTGGCGCCCTGAGGGCGGACCCACAAGAGCCCAAAAAACACCGACACGCTTTCAGATGTTCCATGGCCAAAACACTGCAGGTTTTTCTGCTTTGCGAAAGCCTAAAAGTCCACCCCCCCTGCTCAAGAGGGCTCAAGAGGTCACCAAGACGGCAAATCATACATGACAGCCAACATGCGCAACGCTTGCTCACCACTATGACCACCGGATCCCGTTAATACATTTTTGTGCTGGTTCACACCGCACGCCTGCGGTCCTCGTAGTGAGGGCGCGTCGGCGCCATAATGGCAGAGCCCTCGAACCAGCAGCCCACCGCGAGAATACACGTGTAGACACGTTGCTGCTCATCCGCTAACCCAGTTCAAATGCCAGGGTACGCGCGGCACGTGAATACCAATGACGAACCCGAAACAAAATCGAATGGAAGCTTGGGCGGCGGGGGGGAGCTAACCCCACGGAAGAAATGGCATGCATGTGCTGACGACTGAACGGAACTATCCGTTACACTTCCTAACTGTGGATCGGCCACGAGCAAACGCATGCCACCCCTTCGCCGCATCTTACATGTTTGTTGGTGCGCAAGCCGATAGGGGACGAACGCTACACTGTACCGCCACGTGTTCGACGACGACACGGTGTTGTTGCAAGCCGTCCTGACGTTGGCGGACATCTACTAACGGCAAGCGCACATATGGCTCAGAAGGACACTATTGGTGGAATTCAGACCCCACTGCAGGGGACACCACGCTGCGCGGCACCGGCTTCCAGAGACGCCAGCACCTGACAAGCAGGCCAAGCGCTTTAGCCGATCACCGACATTGATTGTCCTGAAATTGGGCAAACATGGGCATCTGAAAAGAAAAACTTGCTGTTAGTCCACATTTGTACGAAGCAGCGCGACACATGTTTTAATCAGCGGCAGAGGGTCCTCAAGCGCGAACAGCACATGAAAATGCGAATTGCGATCGAACACTGTCGAAGGCACAATATAGAAGACGTCCCGCAGTGAAAATGCAGCAATGAGTGGTGTGCAAGAGGGACTGTAACCACAAGCACAAACATGCAGCGGCCAAGAACTTGACGAGGAGACTCAACTCAAGCGAAGTCTAGCGCAAGCAAACTGGACCACTGGATCACCGACACAACGGTGTTAGCCAGTGAAGCGCAAAGAAATTGTAACTGCTGCCAGCCCAGCTGACTGGTGGGGTAAAACATCAAAGCACACACACACACACACACACACACACAAAGATGGCAGGGTGCTTGCCTACGGACCAGCAACGCAATAGACGGCACAACCCGTGAATCAAACAACAATATAGATTGGTGGCGTCGGGACTCGCAATAGGCGTGGAGCCTTGTACATGCGGGTCCGAAACCAAACTAATGAAGCCATGCCGTGGAATCCTCGGCGGATAGCCACGCCACCAAGGGAGGCCAGTGTCATTGACACATCCGGGCTGGCCGAAAGAAGGCTGCAGTAGCGCCAACCGAATTGATCGGTAGGGTACCGAAACAGCAATAACCTGAGTGCCAACCGTACATCGGGCAGCACTGGTGATACCCCGCGGTGCAAGGGAAGAGGGCGCAGAGAATGAGAGGCGCACCCCGCCGGCCGCGACCGCCAGGCGCGCACGCAGAGGAGGCTCAACCCCCCGCGGCGGAGACAACCTGGAAGGAGGGGGCAAGGGGGGGAGAGAGCAAGCAGCGGCAGGGGCAGGAGGGGAGCCCGAAGAGACGCCAGCGGGGGCCCCTCGACGCGGCCCGATCCCGCGGCCGAGACGGCGACGACCGAGCGAGCCCCGAGACCAACGTGAAAGAGGAGGGGCCGAGAACCCAACGCGGAGGGGAGCGCCGCCGGAGGCGGCGGGAACGCCGCACCACCTCCGACAGAAAGCAGAGCGCCACAGGACCTAAAGACGGGAGTGGCGGAGAGATGGGTGAGCAAAACACCGCTGGGGCAGAGCGAGGAGGAGCGGCGCCCCAGAGGCGACAAATCGGCACGAGAGCAGCGCGACTGATCGTCGTGTGACACGGCAGGAACGGCGACAGATCGATGGGCGACTGGCGCGCGACCGGCCAGAGCAGGCGACTGCAACGCAATGCCCTGCTCACACTCGGCGAGGAAGTCGCTCAGGGGACTCGCGCCAGGCCACCACATTACCTTCCTGCTCTGGCCCCCTAGCCGTTTGATACGGGCCACGAGCTGCTTCTCGGAGGCGACCTCTAGGCCAGCCAGGTGTCCAGTCGAGACCAAGACGTCGACTGATTTGCGCTGCACAGTCGGGCCAACCGAGACTGGCGGGACGCGCGCGCCAGCCAGTTGCCGCCCGTGCGCTGGCAGGGAGTGCACGAAGTCGGTCACGACCTGTCTAGGGACCATCTCTGGGCGAGTTCGCCCCTGCCCGTGGGTTCTGCACTCTCAGGCGAAGTGATCCCATCGTCTACAAGTCCACGGGGAGTCAACCCACACGCCCCCTCGACAATCCGCCAGGCCAACTTGCCCTAGCGGGGCGACGCAAACAAGGTCCGCACCCAGACGGCGCATCCGTGGCGGGCGCACGGATCATGATTGGTGGGTGTCCGGCGGAGACGGAGTCGTCGACTGCTTTGCGCCGCACAGTCGGGCCAGCCGAGACTGGCGGGGCGCGCGCGCCAGCCGGTCGCCGCCCGCGCACTGGCAGGGAGCGCAGGAAGTCGATCGCGACCTGTCCAGGGACCACCCCTGGGTGAGCTCGCCCCTTTCCTCGGGCCCTGTAGTCCCAGGTGAAGTGATCCCAGCGTTCACGCGCCCACGGGGAGTCAGCCCACGCCTGCGCGACAATCCGCCAGAGGCCACCTTTCACTAGCCAGGCAATGCAAGGATTGTCCCCAGACGGCGCCCCCACGGTGGGCGAGCGGGTCATGATCGGCGGGGGATCGGCGGGAGGCGCGCGCGCCCATGGTGCGCCGCCGCCACTGCTGCCCACAGCGACGGCCGCGAATCTACTGCCCGCGACGCAGTCCACGAGACAGCCAGCGCGCGAGGCCTCTGGACCTCCGTTCGCGCGCCGGCGCGGCTCGCAGCTGCGCTGTCCGAGCGAGACGGGCGGCCAGCGGGCCGCCGCCCGCAGCGGGGGGGAACCCGCGAACCTCCCCGGGAAAGTAGCCAGGTGGACGAGGCGCCGCGGCATGGCCAGTCGAGCTCTGGGGTCTCGCGCCCGTCTTCCGAGCTCGCGCCGGCAGCTGGCGGACAGGTGCCCAGCTCTGCCGCTTGCCACTTTGCCCCGGCGACTTCGCCGGGTGGCGTCTCGCGAGAACCCGAATGAATCTGCGAGGTGCATCACCTGCCAGGAAGTCGGCCGCGCCCTCGCGGCCCGCCCACTGGGGCCGACTGCCAAGGCAGCGCACGGGTCTTACCCCAGCACTGCGCGAGCCCTCGAGGCCCACGCCGGCTCGATCCGGCGCCGGGGGCCAGAGAGGCGCGAAGCGGCCCTGCGCCACCAGGCGGCGCAGGGCGAGCTCGTCTTGTTCGTCGCGCTCTAGACTATTCCCTCCAATGGGGGCGCTCACCCCGCCACTCTCGTCGTCGGCCCCTCCGCTCTCACACAGATCGTCGGAGATGTTCATAGATCGGAAGGGGCTGCTTCGGGGTCCTCGACTTCTTTTGATCACTGCAGCTCTGCCCCGGCGCAATGCTCATCGTCGCCCACCATGCCAACGTCATCCTCGACCATCAGCGAGGAGGCGGGGTGGCTTGAATGATCGGAGGGGGCGCAGTCTGCCGCCCTCAGATCGGCGGCGGCGACGCCTGGATCAGCGGCAGCGCGACCAGCGTCCATCGGAGAAGGCACAGAAGGAGGCAGCGGGTCTAGGGCCGGGCCCAGCCGGCTCCCCAAGGGCCCCCCAGCGCCCCGATTGATTCGGATCCTCGATTAGGCCGGGATCCATAAATGGACTGGGCTTGGCGAGGAGCTCCACGCACACGCCACCACCACCACACTCGGGGACCCCTTCCATCAGCCCGCCACATCCGTCGCTGACGCTCTTCTCTATGATGCTCTGCACCGCGTCTTCGACGGGAGGCGCGGGGGCCATGGTCGGATCAGATGCACAGATCGGCGCGTTGCCACCCATTGCGCTGCCGCCCAGCGCGACGCCCTCCAGCACGCCGTCATCCACAGTAGCGTCATCGGACTGGGCACGGTTCAGACGCTCCGCCCCGCCGTGCAGCGCGATGCCAGCAGGGCCCCAGAAGTTGGCGCTTGCCTGAACAGTCAGGCCCGCAGCGTGACCACGACCTACCCTTCGCCCCCCCCCACCCCCCTCCGCTGGCACCTCCTTCTCTGTCTCTTCCTCCAGCCCCGCGGCTTCCAGCAGGCGCCGTTGCCGGCGCCCGCTGCGCGTCGGCGACATCGCCCCCCTTTCGCTCCTCGCCCTCCACCTCCACCACCCGTTGCATGTCCCTCGTCTCCTTCTGCATTCCCCCCTTTACCTCCTCCTTCATTGCAACCTCCTCCTTTGCCTCTGCCTCAAGCCGCAGGTCTTCCAGGTGGCGCTGTCGCCGGTGCACTAGCCGTTCCCCCTCTACCTCCCCCCTCCGCCTCGCCCACCCTGGATGTTAGCAGATCCCGTCTCGTGCACCGCAGACAGCGCCCCGCAGCTGCTGCTCCGCACCTGCACGCAAACCGCGCGCGGCACATTTTCAACTCTGCCCTTCCACCTCCACTGCCCCCCACAAGTCGCACACATAACAATGCCCTTGTCAAGGGATCCCGCCACTTTCCCCTATTTGCGGCTCCACGTTGAAGCATGGCCCCATTCGTTGTACTTGGCATTCATATCGCGCCCTGCGTCCTCCAATCGAGCCTCTGACGCGTTCGCCCCCTTCTTGTCCACCTACTCTAGGTGCAGCTCTGCACATGGGCACGGCCCGTTGGCGATGGTGGAGCGCACATGTTGAACTCTCGAAACACATCGCCCACATCGGCACCACAGGCCCTCTGCTCCCACCCGTGGCTCCAGATGGCATCCGTTCTCCTGGATATACACAGCATCGCCCTTCGCCTCAGCTGCCGCCGCCGTCGCAACCACATCCCCGGCGCCATGCCACACTCGCAGTTGATCCCGCCACTCACCAATCACGAATTCGTGCAGCACTTTCACCTGCATCACACTGAGAGGGCCGTGCACTAGAATAACTGCAGCGCAACGGGCACAAACGCCCATAGTGCCCAAGCCTAGCATAGACGACATCGCTGTCGCCCGCTCCGACACACACCGCGGGCATTCTAAAGTAACATGATCGACGATCGCCCCCTTGCCCCACAGTAGCACTCGGTAGTCCCACCGCCCACTTCTGCGTCCCGCCATCCACCAACTGGTCGGCAAACCACCCGCCAGTATACTCCGCGATACGCCCAGAATGATTCTCGCCTCAATGGCCACATCGGTAACCTGGCACTCCTCCTCTGCAGCCTGCTGCTCTCCCCACTCCGTACAATGTCCCGCCCCCGGGGGGTCATCTCTACCCCCCCCCCAATTCGCTGCAAATCGTCGCGTAGCGCCATTGTCTTACGCCTACCAACTTCCAGCGCACCTTTGCGTTGATGACCCCTGTCGTTGACCACTCGGCACCACAGCATGCCCCACCATGCCTCCCTCAACGCACGCAGCCACTCCTCCTCATCCGCCTCGCTCTTCACCTCCCCCTCCATCTGGAGTGCACTCGCGGGTCCTAGAACCAGCGATCTACTTAATACTCGCAGTCTCGTCATAGGTCCGCCCCTCCAAGCGGTGGGTCGTTGACCAAACCGCGCAAGTAAAAGTGCCGCCACTCCAGGTTTTTCGCATTGCGCGCATCCCCGCACGTAGTCCCACATACACTGCACCGAACTCTGGATCCAATTGCACCGGAGCCAGTAATGCAAATGTCATCGCGGGGCTCATGGAACAACTGTCCGCTTTCGAACTCGCCAGCATCACCACAGTCCTCACCTTCCCGAGCGCTGACACATCGCTGACCAGGCAGTGCATTCCCTGACAGAAAGAGGAAAAAAAAAAAAAAAAAAAAAAAAAAAAAAAAAAAAAAAAAAAACACGCGCCTGGGTAGCCCCAAGGCCGCAGCACCATACGCACGCGTCCCGCCGTCAATCCCCATTTCAATACGCTCATTTTCCCGCTCAGTAGCACTCGCGGCATGCTGGCGCGCAACCAGAGACCCGCCCACACTAAGAAATTCAGTCAGATGCTGGACCTCGTCACCCAAAACTCCCTTCGCGCAAAAATTGCCGAAAGTAATTGGTTCCTTCATATTCAACTCCCCACCCCCAGCGGCACAATAAGCCCGAGCCACACTGTGGAAGCCCCGCATTCCCTCCCGCACTCCCTCCTCCGCCATTGAAGTCGCCAAAGAAGCAATATCATATGCATGCGACCAGTTTGTTGCAGCAGCGTTGTTATGTGCACCAGCCGCCTCCAAAATGCATGATACAACACTGTTCGATGCGATGCGATCATGCTCAACGCGTCTCCTAGCACATTCTCGTTATAGGCACGGAACCAATCCGCCACTGATCCCTTCAGTCTGAATACTCTCCGCAAGCCGTGGCACATACCTCGCAATGCCAGCAAGGTCCCAGAAGCCAATCTAATCCTCTTCGACGAAGGCCGACCTGCAGTCCGCGACCTCTGCCTCCTGGATGCCCCCCCCCCCGTCCTCTGTCACGTCGCCGTCGCCCACCTCCTCGTCGGCGCCGTCGACACCATCATCATTATTCCCGTCGCCGTCGTCGTACTCCTCCGTGGCCTCCCCGCCCCCAACGCCCTCCGCAAACTCCTCCTGGGAGAGAGCTCCAGAGATGTCGACATCGAGGGAGCCAGTACGTTCGAGCGGCCGCGCTGTCCATCGGTCTGGCCAACGGAGTCCCAGGTGCCAGGAGCAACGGCGGCATCGCTAGGCCGCCGCGGCGTTTCGACCAGCTCGTCGATGGCTGCATTGCCAGCGCCCTGGCGGGCGCGGCGGCAGCGTCGGCAAGGGCCAAAGCGGCGGCGGGGCCGCACTCGGCAGCAGCCACAGCAGCCGCGGCAGCGCCAGCGGCAGCCGCCGCAGCAGCAGCCGGCGACAAGGCGACCGCCCGAGCCACGGCCGACGCGGTGGCGGAGGCAGCACAGGCGCAGGCCGCCGAGACAGCCTTGGCAGCCGCGGCAGCGGCCAAGGCCGTGGACCAGTCGCCGGCCCCAGCGGCCTGCCAACGAAGGCCAGCCGCAGGCGGCGCCAAGCCGGAAAACGGCACCGCAGGGCAGGCGGTGCCAGCGGCGGCAGGACGGCCGGCCGGGAGGCCAAGCAGCGCGGCATCACCACCCACGGCAGCGGCGCCAGCTGACAGC